AGACTAGAGATACGTTAAAATGGGATTGAAATCGAACTTTTACCGATGTAAACAAAGCGGAACCAGAGCCATCTATCAAATAAGTCACATAGATCAGCCCGAGACCGAAATGGAGCGGAATTCAAAGATAACGGAATAAGTAATTAAGTATTAGACCAATAATTAACCAATAAATGGTTAATTAATCAAGTAATTAAGCATATTTAGCATACTTCAGCATACTTTTGCCCACAATTAAGCCACCACTCATCTATTAACCCAACAATTAAGCTTGGAAAAGCTTATTGATCCAACAATTAAGCCACCACTCATCTATTGACCCAACAATTAAGCCACCAATGACCATTTAATCCAACAATTAAGCTACCACTCATCTATTGACCCAACAATTAAGCCACCAATGACCATTTAATCCAACAATTAAGCTACCACTCATCTATTGACCCAATAATTAAGCTTGGAAAAGCTTATTGATCCAACAATTAAGCCACCACTCATCTATTGACCCAACAATTAAGCCACCAATGACCATTTAATCCAACAATTAAGCCACCACTCATCTATTGACCCAACAATTAAGCCACCAATGACCATTTAATCCAACAATTAAGCCACCACTCATCTATTGACCCAACAATTAAGCCACCAATGACCATTTAATCCAACAATTAAGCCACCACTCATCTATTAACCCAACAATTAAGCTTGGAAAAGCTTATTGATCCAACAATTAAGCCACCACTCATCTATTGACCCAACAATTAAGCCTAGTTAGCATGTTTTTAAGCCTATTCAAGTCATGATTTATAAAGCTAATTTACACTTAACCTCTACTGAGTATATTTTCTTATGATTACAGTTAAGTAATGTTAAGTATAGTCAATATTTAATTAAACAATAGCATTATCTAATTTTTGAACACCAATAGATGGCAGCACCTTCGATTTTCACTTTTAGTGAATGACCATAGATGGCGTCACTTATGTCTCTTTCTTTCATTTCTTTTCCTGATTGCGATTTTCAAAATGTAAACGAGAAATAATCATCAAAAAACTACAACAATTAACCTGAAATAGTCAAAATCAAATCATATTTGATTTTTTAAGCTTAAATTAAGGTTGAAATAACGACCTCAATTTTCTATGACCCAGTCAGAGTATATAAAAGGCAATTGACCATACCAAAGTTATCAATCCTCAACTTAGAGTTCGATCGTAAAGACCATCTATTATTGTAGCGGTTGAGTTTAGGGAACAATTTTAGCTAACCTGATAATTCCAGTTATTTTTTCCAGTTATTTTTTCCAGTTATTTTTCCAGTTATTTTTTCCAGTTATTTTTTCCAGTTATTTTTTCCAGTTATTTTTTCAGTTATTTTTTCCTGTTATTTTTTTGAATGTCTACCTCACAAGGTTATAAATGCCCTTGCTGCCAACAAACAATCTTTTCTCTTGGTGAATATTTATCACACACTTGCCAATCAAATTGCACCCCTGTTAATTGTACTAGGATGGATGTTTTCGAAGGACCACCAACAAAAAGACAAAAGACTCAAGCTGTTCAAACTGTCCAACCACTTTGCAATGTAATTTGCACATCTTCTTCGACATGTAACCGTGGTTCAAGGTGCCTATTCAATCGAAGAAATGCCAATGTTCAACAACAACCTATTGAACTCTTTCCACAACCACCTCGAAAGATTTTTCTGCGAAGATTTCTTGAAAAACCACCATCACCAGATCCTATCGAGGTTATTGAATTGTCATCAGATGAAGAAGAAACACCTTTAGACTTGTCAGTTCAGCACTATTCACTACCTCCACCGCAGTCATCACCTATCAATTTAACTTCACGGCAGATTATTCCATCAACTGTTGAATCAGACTTCCAAGATCCACCAGCTCAACAAGAACCAGCAGATTTACCAGATCCATCAGCATCACAAGAACATTCAGATTTCCAAGATCCACCAGCCCAACAAGAACCTTTGCCAGATCCTGAACAAGACATCTATGACCAACCAACAGAGAGCGAAGATGAACCTGATGTTACGTTGAATCAACCCATCCAACAAAATTCGCCAAAGCGTAAAAAGGGGTCATTTAAGTGTGATAAATGTGGTAAAACTTACGTTTTATCACCATGTTTTCAGAAACATCTATTGATATGTGGTGTTCGTATGTGTACAGCAAATCCAGCCGATGTACCAGCAGCATTCAATGGTTACAAGTTAATTGAAAAAGCATTTGCCAAATATTATTTGGTTTATAGATATGTAAACACTGAAAAAGTTGACCTTACTGTTCTTTTCACTAAACTTAGTCCTGATACAATTGCATTGTTGAATATCATAGTGAAAGAGTTTAAAGCAATGAAATATTTTTTCAATTTAGAAGCGGTTTTCACAGACGAGATATCAGGCAAATCAATCAAAATGTATTTCCAGTCAAGCATATTTGCAGGATTAATCGCTGATATTAATGAGAACTCTTTAGCAGAAGCATTGGTGGAACTTGAAGAAAGAATAGATCAATTTACACAACGAGGATCAGGCTGGGCACTCGCTAAAATAAATCACATCGACTTGGCAGTAGGAAAATACATACCACATACTGGCGGTTGTAGTAGTCACACATTACCTCCAAGATTGAAGAACAAAACATGCCTAATTTCTCCTGCAACTGTAACTGATTGTTTTATGTACAGTGTCTTGATTGGTTTACACAAAGCTGCCCATCATCGTGAACGAGTCGACCAATATTCTACATTCATCTCCAACTATGACTTTTCAATGGTTCGAGGTATTGTTCCTGTAAATGATATTAAAAAGTTTGAAAAGGCAAACAGAATCTCTGTAAATGTATACACTTACGAGTTAGATTCAGAAAAGGTTGTGCCACTTAAGATTGCTGCTTTCGAACAGGAAAAACATGTCAACATTTTTTTGCTGAATGAACACTATTATTACATATCAGACTTTTGTAGACTTGTTAACACAGCAAAATCCAGATCAAGATTCGTTTGTTATCGTTGCATTAGATCATTCAGACTCGAAGAGCAACTCCAGATACACAAAATTGATTGTGGTGTCAAAGTGCCACAAGCTATCGAAATGCCTAAAGGTGATCGTGCAGTCTGTAAAAGGTGGAATTACAGAAAAGAAGTTAAATACCCTTTTTGTATCTATGCTGATTTCGAAACTTTATCTGTGAAAAATACCGAACCAGATCATATTCTAACTGACCTGGTGCCTTGCAGTTATGGATACGTTATTGTTGATTGGGAAGGAAAAATAATTCACAATGATTTCTACCTTGGAACTGACGTCGGTAAAAAATTCCTTGAAAGCTTAAAACAAAGTGAGAGACTCATGGACGACTATCTTGAATCAAGAATCAAGCGTAATCATCAACTCTCCCAATCTGAAGAAGACGCCTTCAAGAACGCTATTAATTGCCATATCTGTAACAAAGCTCTTGGTGGAGATAGAGTTCGAGATCATTGCCACCTCACTGGTAAATATAGAGGAGCTGCTCATCAGCAATGTAATTTAGAATACCGTGTTCCTTCACAATATCCAGTTATTTTTCACAATTTGAAAAACTTTGATGGTCACATCATAATTAGAGCACTTGATGTGAATTTTTGTGAGCAACCCCCTGTGATAATTCCTCATAATATGGAGAAATTCATTGGTTTCATACTTGGAAGGTTCAAATTTCTGGACAGTTATGCTTTCTTACCATCTAGCTTGGACAATTTATCTGCAAATATTTCCACTGAAAGTAAAAATCACTACTTAAAGCAGTCCTTCGGAGATATTGATACTTCCCTTTTAATCAAAAAGAGCGCACTTCCTTACGAGTACTTGACTAGCCTTGACGTATTCAATGAACCTACTTTACCTGATAAGTCCGCTTTCCATTCAACTCTAACTGACTCCGGTATATCTGATGAAATGTATCAACATTTACAACAAGTTTGGTCCACTTTTAACTGTCAAACAATGAAAGATCTCCACGACATCTACTTAAAGGTTGACGTTCTCTTATTGACAGCAGTATTCGAGAACTTTAGAGAAATGTCCATCACTAATTTTACATTGGATCCACTTCATCAATTTTCTGCACCTGGATTAACGTGGTCAGCTGCTTTGAAAACAACAGGAATAGAACTTGATCTAATGACTGATGTCAACATGTTTCTGATGATCGAAAAAGCTATTAGAGGTGGACCGACAGTGGTAACTAAACGCCATGTTAAAGCCAATAACAAATACATACAAGATTATGACGAGGGCAAACCAACATCTAATTTACTCTACTTGGATGTCAATAATCTATATGGCTATGCCATGTCAGAAAAATTACCAGTTAAAGGTTTCAAATGGTCCAATGTTCCACTTGAACAAATATTGAATACTCCTGATGACTCTGATACTGGTTACATATTGGAAGTAGATCTTGAATATCCAGAAGATCTTCATGATCTTCATAATGATTTCCCTCTTGCTCCTGAAAAGATGGAAATTGAACAGAAATTGTACAGTCAGTACCAACAAGAATTGCAAAATGATTTAAAAGAGAGAGGCTTCAAACCAACACATTCAACAAAGCTGGTTACAACATTTATCAAGAAAGAGCGATATGTCATCCACTATCGCACTCTGAAATTCTATGTTGCACATGGAATGAAAGTTAGCAAAGTACATCGTACAATTCAATTCTATCAATCAGCCTGGCTAGCTGAGTATGTCAAATTCTGTACATCTAAAAGACAAGCGGCAACATCAGACTTCGAGAAAGACTTTTATAAGCTTTTGGTCAATTCCATCTATGGTAAAACCATCGAAGACAAGAGAAAGCACCGTAAAGTTTTTCTCGCACTTCAAGATATCCAAGCTCAAAGACATCTCAGAAAGGATTTATGTCAAAAATTCATGATTCTTGATGAAAATAAAATGCTTTTTTGGATGAAATCGTTGCGAGTAAAAATGGATAAACCGATAGCTGTTGGATTCACCGTTCTCGAGTTAGCCAAACTCAAAATGTATCAAATACATTATGACACTTTCAAGGCCCACTATGGCAATAATATCAGTATGATTTATACTGATACTGATTCTCTCATCTATGAAATTAAGACTCCAGATATTGTAACCGATCTTCAACACTTTTCGAACATCATGGACTTTTCCAATTACCCGAAAGACCATCCACTGTATTCCAACGCAAACAACAAAAAGATTGGGTTCCTCAAAGATGAGATGGCAGGAAAACAGATTGTCGAATTCGTAGGTATTCGTCCGAAACTCTACGCACTAAAAACTGAAGACGAAGTAAAGAAGAAAGCGAAAGGAGTCCCAAGAGCTGTACTCAAAAACAAAATTACTTTCGATGATTACATTGAGTGCCTGTATCATCATACTGTAACTCGTGATAAAGCAACATCACTTCAGTCTGATCATCATAATATCCAAATGATCAGGAGGACAAAAGTAATGCTCTCTCCACTGGACGATAAAAGATACTGGCTGGACCGATTATCTTCATTGGCTTATGGCCATTATAAAATTAATAACTGATTTTTTCTTTTGTATAAATTGTTTTTGTTTAATCGTTTTTGTTTAATTGTTTTTGTTTTGTTTAAATTAGTAACCTTTTTGTTTAATTGTTTTTGTTTTGTATAAAAAATAATACTTGTTTTACTTATAAAAAATTTATTTAAATTAAATATTTTTTCAATTGTTTAAATAATGTCTTTTCATTATTTTCGTGTTTACATTGACGGAAAAGTTTATAGAATGAGTTTAGAGAATTAACTGATAGAACAAATAGAATACAAAAGTACCCGCAAGCAATTGATAAATTGCCTTGATACTTGATAGGATTATAAATATAGTAATCAGAATTAGCTTCAATAAAAGTAAGTATATTTCCTTGTGGTTGTCTTCCAAAAGAATCAAAGTAATGAGCCACTTTATTCTTGTCAAAGTAAACGGCTACCCAATGACTTCCAGGTTTATAGCTTTCATCAAGATTAATTATCACTGAACTAGGGGCAAGTATCCATCTCGGTAGTTGATCAAGCGCGTAAACTCCATTAAACCAAGGTACATCTTTTAGTAAGTTTTCAATTTCCAAAGTAGTTAGCATTTCAGTAATCCAATCGTACAACTCGGTCTTTATCAATAGTGATCAAATTATCAAATTGTGCAAACACAATTGCTTTAATTGAAACATCAAGTTTAGCAGTGAATTTAATATCAAGTCTTATATTTCCTCTTTTGATTAGAGACAAAGTTCCATTTTCAGCCCCAATACTTCCATCAGGGGTTAGATCAAACGCAAATAAAGTTGAGTTTGATAAATAAGACTCCTTAGATAAGTTAAGTTGAGGGATTCCTTCATCTTGATTGAAACATCGATAAAGGTTGATGAATTCCCTAGCAAATAAATTTTCGGCAAAATTAGGAGTATACGGTATACTAGGAACAGTATGTCCATCAACTGATAATGCAATATAGTTAGTTTTAAAGTTTAGAAAATCAAACGGGTTCTCTTTAATAGAACCCGAATGGGCTGAATCTTTTACGAGACCAATAAGTATCCTTCGTGGTAGCACTCCATTGAAAATGTTTTCAATTGATACTGATGTTTGACCAGATGAAATAGCGAAACTTCGAGTATCATTTCTTGTAATGAAATATTTAGCAGCACCTTTATCCAAACCTTGAAGTAAACTCCTATGAGCTTCGGGGAAAAGTTTGACTCTTTTGATGAAAAGAGAAAACTTTTTGATTGTGAATTTATATTCAGTCACATCAGTGGACACTAATGGAAAACCGGATGGACTTTTAGTAAATCTAAAAGTTAAAGGTACACCATTCAGTAGCAATTTATCCTGTTCGCACATTGATGAATGTAAGCGGAAAAATAAATCAAAAGGTTGACGTAAATCAGTTTCTGTTACTTGGCTTCCCGAGTCACAGAAATTAGGGTGTCTGAATAATAAATCTTCGAGATATGCTTGATAATGGTACATGTTATTTGCTTGAACAGTATTAACTGAACCTAGAAATACGTCGATCTGCTCGAACATTGCATTTCCAAAATTCTCTACAGCTCGCACGTGATTTTCTTCTGCTAATGCTAAATTAGTATTGGTTGTAACAGCAACAGTCAAATGAATCATTGTAGATGCTAGATCAGTAAAGTCTTCACTTGAAGGGACATTTATTTCATAAAAATTACTTGACTCAAGACTAGAAACCGGTCGATATTCGACTTCATAGCTTGATTCAATTGCAGTTTGAGTAGGAGGTATATTAAATACCTGTAACTCAGACTTGCTTGAAGGTAGAGAAGATTCGTGTAAGTACTCCATCATGAGAAAATATCTTTCTTTTTATTTTTTAGTTTACGACG